TTAGGCGGGTCCGCAATAAGAATACCGAGATACGAAATTAGAATTTTAATTTTATAAACTTTTAATTTAATTAAATTCTAAATTACACTATCTATATATATTTAACACTCGAGAGTAAAATCTAATGTGTTGGCTTATCAAAACAATTAGCTCTTTTCCTTTTCCAAAATAGGAAATCTAACAAAAGTACTCCCTCCGTCCCATTTTATATGATGTACTTTGATTTGGCACAAACTTTAAGAAAAATGGAAAAACTTTTAAAACTTGTGGTTCAAAATGAATGATAGAAATTTGTGTGGTTGTAAATCATTTCATTAAGGGTAAAAAAGACATTTTATAGGCAAATTGTTACTTAAAATAGAAATGTGTCATTCTTTTTGGGACTGACTAAAAAGGAAAGTGAGTCATATAAATTGGGACAGAGGGAGTACTTTTTTTTCGGGATCAAGTATTTATTTTGCTTTTCATCCCATATTCAAAGTTCATATTAAAATTCGGACTAAATTTAAATGGTACACTATGTTTAAAATATGATATTCTTAATAATTTTTTTTTTTTCGCATGATGACCTTTGATTAAGGGCGGAGCAATTCGATATTGAATCTATTTGCCTTATAATTGAGTCTATAAAAGTGTGCTTGTTTTGTTTAATTCATAAAAGTGTGCGTCGTGACCAGAAATCTCTCTGTCTCGCCAGCAAAGCATTCATCAAATACAGCCTAATAATAGTACTCTTTCTATTTTCATTTTTAGATATATAGAGAGATTCACGGGTATTGTTAGAGAAGCAACGACGTCGTTTCTCTTGCTCCGTCCCCGTTTCCCGTCCTTTTTCTGCATTGTCGCCGGCGACAATGGTGGATTTGGGTCTCTCCGGATCTCTTCTTGCAGTGGTGTTGGGGTTCGTTGCAGTTTTCTGTTTTTTCATTCAGAGAAATGGTGGCTGCAGCAAAAGTAAAATTGATGACTCAGCAACTAGCACCACTACAACTACGGTGTACAGTGGAAAGTCCCGATCAAAGGATGGAAACGACGACGTTGATATCATCATCGTTGGTGCCGGAGTTGCCGGTGCTGCTCTTGCTCACACTCTTGGCAAGGTATTGTTTCTTTCTTTGTAATCCTTTTTTTTAAAGTTATTGTTCTACTTTGATCCTTTAACTATTTTTATGTACATATGTGAGCAAACCGTAATTGTGAAGTGAGAAGTAATTAGACTGATTGATTTACGTATCTGAAGACATAGTTGATGTGGTTATTCATAAAAGACTTGAACTTGATTGTTAATTTGATGAAACCAGAGAAATGAAAGATGCATTGATGATGAAAGCGTTTGGTGTGACTGCAAATTTTTTTATTGGAGTTCTTTGTTGACAATTCTCTATGAAAAAAAATTCTTTTTTGTGAGATTTATGATTATACATTTGGGACTACAGGAAGGGCGTCGTGTAAAAGTAATTGAAAGAGATTTGACAGAGCCTGATCGAATTGTTGGAGAACTCCTACAACCGGGTGGTTACCTCAAATTGCAGGAGTTGGGATTGGAAGGTAAAGTTCCTAAGTGATGTGATTTGTGTCAATTCTGGTTAATTTACTCTCTTGAAGAGAAAAAAAAGGAAGTTAGTCTTACACTTTTAGCTTCTCGTCTGTCTCTTTTTTGGCATTTCTCATATTTGTATTTTGGTCTACTGCAGATTGTGTGGAGAAAATTGATGCTCAACGAGTGTTTGGGTATGCCCTTTTCAAGGATGGAAAGAGTACACGTCTTTCTTATCCCCTGGAGAAGTTTCACTCCGATGTTTCTGGAAGGAGCTTCCACAATGGGCGTTTCATTCAAAGAATGCGAGAGAAAGCTGCAGCTCTTCCCAAGTATTCCTTCTTACCATTTTTTCCCTTTCCCTTGGCAGATCTATTTCTCTCTCTCTCTTATATGTTATGAAGTATTTGATCTTCAAATAATTTCCTGTTTGAACTTGTAGTTAGGATTCATATTGTCGATCCTTACTAGTTTGGATGGAGTCTAAGTTGATTGATTGAAAATTTGAAATAGTTTCCTGTTGAATTACCTCTGCTTTGATTGACTAAGTGCACATCGGCTTTGATTTTTTAACAGTGTCAAACTAGAGCAAGGCACTGTTACGTCTCTGCTTGAAGAAAACGGGATCATTAGAGGTGTTCAGTACAAGACTAAATCTGGTGAAGAGTTGAAAGCGTATGCACCTTTAACTGTAGTATGTGATGGTTGTTTCTCGAATCTACGACGTACCCTTTGTGACCCAAAGGTAAGGGCGCTTATCAATATTTCTCTTGATTTTTGTTAAGATAAAAAGGATGGAACTGGGTGATTAATTGTTTGTTGAGAAGGATCTTTTGTTTTAAAAGCTCATCTGTGAAATCGTTTGCTTTTACTTATTGTATATCATCTTTTGCTTTTACTTACTACTGTATGAGACGATAAGAATTAGTGTACCAAAGTTGTCTGAATGAACAAATATTTTTATATGAACATCACCATTGTTGTCCCCTCCTTATGTTTCTCTCAACACTCAGAATGACATGTAATGTTGTACAGGTAGAAGTCCCCTCTTGTTTTGTTGGTCTGGTCCTGGAGAACTGCCAGCTTCCACATGAAAATCATGGACATGTCATTTTGGCTGATCCATCACCTATCTTGTTCTATCCCATAAGCAGTACTGAGGTCCGCTGTCTGGTTGATGTACCTGGTCAAAAAGTGCCTTCTATTTCGAATGGCGAAATGGCCAAATATTTGAAAAGTGTAGTTGCTCCCCAGGTAAAGAATTGTTGAAACCGTTATCCTGAATGACATACCATGTCATTATAGTAGTATACATACTTAAGTTGCATGACGTTCAATGAGATGTTCGTGTGGTTGTTCCAGGTCCCTCCTGAGATAAAAGATGCATTCATTGCTGCAATTGATAAAGGAAACATCAGGACAATGCCAAACCGAAGCATGCCAGCTGCTCCTCATCCTACTCCTGGTGCTCTTCTCATGGGAGATGCATTCAATATGCGCCACCCCTTGACTGGTGGAGGAATGACTGTAGCATTATCTGATATTGTTGTATTGCGTGATCTTCTCAAACCTCTTCGTGATTTGAATGATGCATCTACTCTTTGCAGATATCTGGAGTCATTTTACACCTTGCGTAAGGTAAAAATCACTTGAAATCCTTCCTTGCATAAGTAACATATTTGATTGCTGTAAGTACCACGTTTTCTACTTTAAGAATCCTTAGTGAAGTAAAAACTCTATGTTGACTAGTGAGTAATGAAGGATCTGGAACCACAAAACAGACATTCCTTTGATGATTTCACCAGCTATCAATCTACCAAAAACGATATAATGTAAAAAGGCTTGGTTCATTACAATGTTTTAGGACTTGACTCACTCAATTCTCCTATAACTTGTCTTTTACATGAATAAATAAATAAAAAAAAAAAGCAAAAGAGGATGACTGATGACTCAATTCTCCTGCAGCACTTTGAGACTTGACTAGAATATTATTACCTTTATAGATTGTTTATCAAAAAAATAAAAAAAATATTACTTTTATAGATATTGACTTGTTCTGCTCGCATATTTTACCTGCAGCCTGTGGCCTCCACCATCAATACGTTGGCTGGTGCCTTGTATAAGGTGTTTTGTGCTTCACCTGATCAAGCTAGGAAGGAGATGCGTGAAGCATGCTTTGATTATTTGAGCCTCGGTGGAGTATTCTCAGATGGACCAGTATCTTTGCTTTCTGGCTTAAACCCTCGTCCATTAAGTCTCGTTTGTCATTTCTTTGCTGTGGCTATCTTTGGTGTTGGCCGCTTGCTGCTTCCTTTCCCATCACCCAAACGTATATGGATTGGAGCCCGGCTAATATCGGTAGGTGTCAATCTTGCTTTTGCTCAATATTTGCAATCTTTACACACGTGTTCCCATGTGACCTTGTATTTTGACAATTTCATGTTGATTCAAATGCAGAGTGCATCGGCAATCATTTTCCCTATCATCAAGGCAGAAGGGGTCAGGCAGATGTTCTTCCCCGCAACTGTTCCCGCATATTACAGGAAGCCCTCCTGAAGTGAGGTTGTAACTGCTATAAACAGAATAAGGCTATGTCATTGTACCACCTCCATCAGTATTCTGGTTGAGTTTCAAGAGTTTAGTCCAACTGTTGCATAATTTTTGGTTGCTAGTGTTCCCTTGTAATCTTTTTCCTTTTTAGTTTGTTCCCATGATTGATTACACTATAAACTGGAAAGTAAATATAAGTTGTACAATCATACATTTGTCTCTTCTCTGTACATTTATTTTTTTCCTCCTCTTTGTTTTCTTTTTTTGCCTTTTCTTATTGTGTTCTCCCACATTGGCTTGGGGTTCACTTAGTTTTGCCAATATCTGTAAGCCTCTTACTGATACCAAAGATGTAATCATCTTTTGAGTTTGACAATGGAGTAGAAATTGAGGAAGCATAACAACTTATCCTTTATAAGCTCGAAGCTTGAGATTGAAATTATTGTAAAAGTTCTATGGCATATACCTTGACAAAATAATAGCATATAATTTGTTATTTTCTCTAAAGTTCGACCTTTTGTGAATGCTACAATGAACAATTTCAAGAAGTTTCTTACATATCTTTTCTACCAAGTAAGGATATAACATAATCAGCCACTTGACTCAAATTTAATACAAGGCAAAATTCATAGGCTGATTACAGCCTTTTCTCTCTTTATTTGACGACATCTTGAGCTAACTTACAGTGTACTAAAGCCTGTGTGATATACAATGTAAATCCGTATGTTCAGCTATCCCACGTCACAAGTTGCGCTCTTCCAGGAAGAGTTGAAAGTCCGCAGAGGAATTACAAAAGCAACAATCCTGGCTGTAGAAGTACTCTTAAAACTCGTCACTGAAGAAAAAAGAAACAAGAACCTATTGCAAAGCGTATCCTGAAAACCTCGATAAGCAGCCAAGAATGTCAAGAGACTACGTGTACCAGTCGATTAGCACAAGGCTGGAAGCAAATGGCTTGATAGTCTCCCAGGAATCCATCATGAAGGACCACTTGGATTAGCTAGACTAACATACAACATCAAGTGGACATGACCTTTTAAAATGTTACAGAAAATTTCAGGCATTTATCATGGCTCTTTATCTGCTCGTGCCATTCTTCCTTTCCGACTTTATGGCCTCATATGACTTCATGACTTCCTTAAACTTTGCTTCAGCAGTCTCTGCAACCATGTCACAATATCAGATATTTATCACCTGATGCAAGTAGTAGCATTTCTTTCCTTATGTTTTTCTCAAATTTGAAATAGGTAATACAAGGATAAAATATCAAATAGACCAGCCAACACAATCCACCTTTGTTTTGCTGATTCTGATCAGGGTGAAACTGCTTAGCCTTTTCCCTAAATGCCGACTGCAAGTTCAAAAAAAGGCACTTTTCAATTGATATTTTCAATACAAGCTAATGTTTTCACATGTGCGCATGAAAGATGGAGAGAAGCAGAACAGATTACAGATAGTCGAAAGTCCAGTGTTTTAAAAGGCAGGGGCGTGAGGCGGGGAGTTTTACTTAGTATAGGGCGAGGCGTAAGCCTGGAGACGTGGGGCGTAAGGCCTATGGATCTTTAAATTTTTAAGTTATAATATAGTATAATAATAATATAATAACACATAATTATAAAAATACATCTAAGTTTGAAATAATTACAAACATGATTAATGAAACTCATAGAAAATAAAACTTCCAATGTGATTATACAAGTATAAATAATCTAATATCTTAACTTTTTAATAATAAAAGTATCATTATTTCTATTTATTTTTTTATCATACTATACAATGCACCCCTAAAAGAAAATAATCAATAAAACTTACTAGTATTATAATAAAAACATCACTCCACCATGAATAAAAATAAAATTACTTTCAAATAGCTAAATAAAATATGATAACTTTGAGATTTATGACAAAACCATGAAGACTAATGATAAGTGAAGAAGTAAAATTTTGTTACCTATTTTTAAAAGAAATGTTACGCACCTTCACAGTGTTATCAAATAGTAAAGATGTGATACTACAACTTGTTATTTGAGTTACTCTCAATCTTCTTATCTCTATAGATTAAAAAATTATGAAGTATCATTCATTTATTCAAGAATTATGAGGGTCAACAATGTAAACTAAAGATTTTAACGCATAATTTGTCTAAGATCTATTAGGCGAGCCCCAAGTGTTGGGTGTTGGGCGTGCTTAGGGCGTATAGTCGGGCGCTTAGGGTCTCGGGGCGTTTTGCTAAAGTCCTACCCCAGGGCGAGCCCCGAGGCGAGTCCCAGTAGAGTCTTTTAAAACACTGGTCGAAACTGAAGAACCATTGCGATGTCAACTATCAAATACCCTTGCAAATAGCTCAAATAGGAGGATTTATCATATTAAGATAATTTTAGCAGAGATTAGTGTGTACAAGTATGATTAATAAATAAGCAGCTTCATAGAATCTCCTAGTAATCGGGGCAATGCCAGAACCACCCAATAATATTAGGTATCAACTTCTTAAATTTGACAAGACAGTCAAAAATAGTATTAGAGCCTGCTTGAATGGGCTTATAGCTTTTAGCTTATAAGCCAAAAGCCATAAGTTAAAAATTCTAACTTATGGCTTTTGACTTATTTTTATCCTTTTGCCTTAAAAACAAGAGATTAAAAGCACTTTTTTATTATATCCAAACACTACAAAAATATTTAAAAGCTATTTTTTAACTGAAATTTGTTGGGAACTGCTGAAGTGTCTTTGTTGTAGCACGGCAGTAAACTCAGACCTGAAGCTACTCAAAAGTGTTCTGTTCTACAAATGGCTAGTATATAATGTTGCAAAATAAAGCAATGCGCCTGGATCTTTTTTTTTTTTTTTTTTTTTGTGTATAAGAGACATGGTGGCAGGCAACAGAAGTGAAGCAGCTTGGCTTGCAGTCTCTATTAAAGTACACAACGAACAAAGAAAAGTAAAGTTGTTGAGTAATTAACAGAGCTTCTAGCTATGAAAATGTTGGTGATGCAAAAAAATTACCGGGAGAAGAATCATTTCATTTTATTTTTACCTTTATCAAGACAGTAGTTTTCTTTAAGAGGTTACAAATGATTTTGATCACTCTTTTTCCTGCCTAGTGCCAAATATAGACCCACATACGTTTTATTCAGAAAATTCAGAAAATAAGGAGCAGCACAAAGGAGATAAATTAACTCTGCCATTCACGTAGGGTGGTAGTGCCCAAAAAGAAAAATATTTCTATATTCAGAAAATTCAGAATAAAGGAAATAAATGTTTTAAGGCTTCAAGTCATGCAGGGTGGCAGGGGTATTTAGTTCTCTAAACCATTCTCCTCCACAAGGAAGAGGTGGAATCAGGGAATCCTAGAACAATGGAAGGTAATAAATGTAAAAAGATAAAAACAATGGGACGTAAACTGCACAACAACACTATTTTCATTTAATACTGGAAGAATTTTTGGACATGCCAGAGAAGGATAAGTACCTTTATCTCGTCATCCGTGTAAGGCTTCGTCCTAGACCTGTCATAATGGAAGGATCAAACATGTCAAGTTTCATGTCAATGTCAGTATCATCGCCAAAGTACTAAACACATCCACATTAAACATCTGACATTCCAGATATAGACTTCTTGGCCACATGAAAACTAATACATGTACGAGAAAACTAAAAACTAGAGAAGAACGATAAGTATCTGTAACTAACAGAAGAAGTAATACCCTTTTAGAGCAGCAAAGCCTTCTATCCTAGACCACCACATCATAGGTTAAACCGTGTTTTAAAACATAATTTTGAATGTCATGATTTACCCAGGTGAAAGTAAAATTCAATATGAGATTAATCACAAAATTGGCATCTTACTATCCAGAGTCAGTAAAACAAATCTTCACCTTCATGTAAGTAAGCACCATTCACATCATAGGGTACCATTATCTCCTTATTAGATTGCAGTGAGTGAATAAGTCGAAAACAAAACCTAAAGTTTCAATCTAATGTCCTTGTTAGGAGTCCATGGTGACTTCAAACAGAAGAGCCCACGGCATTGGTAAGCTGCAGCAGGTACTCCTATGAGGCATATTCTTATAGGGTTGAAGTGTATGCTCTGGTCCTCGAATTGCCAACAAAAGAATGCAAATTAGTAATTTTCTTCTTTGTAAATCCTTCTACTGCATTGATGCAGAATTCCCTAGCAAAAGAATTGGCAAAAATGCATGCCTCAGGCACATACATATGCCTCAAACCATAATAAATGGACAGTAATGTGTCCTAAACAACTTTGATTTTTGGACTATCATCTTTGCAATGGACGTAACAAAACGTTTGACACCATTCTATTTTACTGTAACTTTCACTACTATCAAGAATTTAAACATTAAATATACACACTTCAACTTTGATGTGATATTTGCCCTCTATTCACCCACTACTTTATTATTCCCTTTTATCATCACTAATATGCTATATAAGTCAAACTAACATCTTAAACTCCAAACCCAGTTAAACATTGCAATATAAAATGAAACAGAGGTAGCACATACGTTTACATGCATTCGTCTTATATGTTTAGTATCTAGTCGTGGAACTGCGTCATATACAACAACATACCAGTGAAATGTTTCCAAAGAATCAATAGTATATGCACCGAAAAGAGTTAAAAGTGGGTCCCCAAAATTCCTTACAACTTCGACTTGGATTCTCCCTCCAACTTCCACTTAAATTTCATTGGTAAATGCGGTTGCAATTTGCCTACTCATATCTGTATATTTACCACATCTTCTAGCTGCATGGAGGAGTTCTCCCAGTTGATGGGTAGTCTTCCAACCTTCATTTCCTGATCTTGCCTTGCACTACTCTACACTCTAGCAGTTTTTGCAAGGCCGTTGGATGGCATTAGAAGACCCCAGGATAAGGCATCAATAAGATGTGCCGATTCATCAGGAAAAACGCAAGACTCCTCTATAACCATATAGCTATATGTGAAGGGATACACATGCGTGCAAATTTTATAAGCCTTTGCAGAAGGAATTCACTTTTTGGGCCCGTGTTAAATTAGAGGACATGCAAAGAGGGCCTGTTATGTTTTAACTGTCAGCTGGAGAATAAAGAATTAGGGCTTGTTTTTGCTCTCTTGTGGATAGTGTTTACACCATTACTGTTAAGTGTTATATTATAGGTCAGACACCGACAGCACTAGAAGCATCTTCTTCATGAATACAACTACTCAGTAAGGTCTTCTAGGAGGATCTGACCAAGCGACCAAAATTGGTATGTCTTTCCCTACTCATAAGAGATGAATGATTTGCTAACTACTGAGCCTAAGCCAGTGTTAGCTTATGTAGATGCATGACCAGACATATGCAAAGTGCTGACTTGACAGGTCCATCCATATGAACTGACATCATCAGTCGCAGTAAACATAGACTAATTCTAAGTGATAAGATTTTCACCGAATTATTCATTGAAATGAGACTTCTGATGAAATCGGGGATAACGTCAAAGAAAGAAATAGAAAGGACTGCATGCCACTGAAACAGTCCCTCGAAACAATTAACCAAGTTGGTGTTTGATAAAAATGTGCATAAAGCTTCTAGAAAATCTATCAATACACAAAAAATTAAAAGGAAAACAAAACAAACTATGATTTAGCTTTTGATAGTACTCTATTCTAACAATAAACAAGAAAGAGGCAGCTTCTCATAGTTTTACTATTCTAACAATAAGCAAGAGTATAGTAAAGAGAACGGCAAAAAATTTTGGTATAGGACCTTGAGCTACATGAAACAAAACTAGCATCCTAATTCATCAAATTCCAAATAATTATAACATAATCATTCTTAATGATTCATTTGACATTTAACACTTATCCCTCACCTATCTATTGCCATGAAGAAACCAGTCTGGACTGCCAAAAGAAAAACACTTGGCACTACTAAGAGATAAAAGAACCTAAATCATTGAAAGAAGCAACTTCACTACTACACTGATATCCTTAAAGATGATAAAGCTAAGGCAATTGGAAGTCTGAAACAGCATATCTGATTGGTGATAACATGCGTAACCAGTATAAATATAGATCAATTCAACATCTGAAAAAATATTAATACCTATCAAGACCCAAAACTGAGTAATCATGCGACAACGGGTTGCTTGCATTGGCCCTAGGAGCTTCCCTGAAATTAGTTCCCCGGTCTCTGAACGATGTATCAGCCTTCCAGTACCAGTCATTTCTTTGGAAGTGCTGATGATATGCACTTTGCCCATTTTCTTGCCAGCTCTCATAGCTCCTCTTATGTTTGTTTCTCTCCCTGTTGAAAACACTTTGCATACGGCGAATGCGCTCCTATGAAAAGCATAGGATATTGGGTCAACAATAATCCAATGGTTAACGTAGAATACACAGATAAATTTCAGAATAAACTCACAAATGGAAGTTTATCTGTTATCTCATTACGTTTTTCTTTAGCTCAGATATGTATGTCATTAGATCTACTATCTGTAGTTGGCTTTGTGAGGATCACAAATTATGGGATAGAAAATAAAGCAATCAACAGTTCAATCACGCAAAGAAAACATAGGGTAGGAGTGACATTTCACTTGAAAGAAATACAATAAGGATGTTTAAATATCCAATGGTTCTGTACAGCTTCAGTGTATTATTGCAGATGAAGAAATAAGGGTTAAATCTTATGTCCATCCTCCAACCTTCTAGCTATAAGATTTTCCATAAAAAAATTCACACAGCTTGTCCAAGAAAGCAAGTTACGCTTATGTCCAAAAGAACAAATGGTAGTTAAATTCTCCTTCTCAAAAAAATGGTAGTTAATTTCTCGACGCGGCCAAATTATATTCAGAGATGACACACATTCTAAACGAATACACATAGGGGCCTGGATTTCATAAAGCAAATATCACAATGTCTTCACTTGCTTCAGTTGAAATAAACTTTGACGAAATTCTCTTTCAATTAGATCTAAAGAAATGAGAGTAAAATTGTTGAAGATGAAAATGTAGCTCACCACTCTCTCCATTTCTTCTTCATACTCCTCCCGCATCCTGCGATTATATCTTTTCCACGCTTCCTCCTGAAAACTTGTCCTAAAAGAACCCCCAGCTCGACTTCTCTGTGCTGACTGCCTCAACTTTTTCAATTCAAATAGGTAGTTATTAGCTCAAGAAAAACATTTCTTTCCTCCCCCATGCAAAGTATTTATCAAAACAACTAGAGCAGAACCCTTCTTTAAGCACAAATGTCAGTAAACATAAGCAACTTCATTTGATGTACTTCATCTTATGCATGAAACAGTTAATTAGTATTGAACTCGCACCCAAGACCATTGCAAGAAACAGCAAAAGCAAAAGCAATTTTTTTGCACAAAATTAATTTTGTCGCAACATCTCATTTGACAGAGTAAGCATATACTCCCTGTATCAGAAGGGAATAGCACGATTAGATTAAGAGTTTCTTTTACAATTATTTTCTGATATTTTTTAACTCTAAAGCTGAGTTATCAAACTTTTTCTGTAGTAGATAAATATGCAAAAGTTTATTTCCCAAAATTTAAAAATCAATATCAAAATTCGCATCCGATGATCTTCCCTGAACCCCTCATTCTTATTAGGATAAAGCGATTTATCAATTTAATGTTTATTCTTATGACCACGAAATATCCGAGGGCTAGATGACCCACAGTTTGAAACTCGTTGTATCATGAGCCTGTCTACGTAGCCTTCTCTGATTAAATACCAAGCTTCAGATCGCCACGGCTTTCAAACTAATTACGTGTGGCTAATCCACACATTGCTTAGCTCTCATCACTGAACCAAAGACCTCGGAGCACAATTCTTTAGTCATTTTTCAATCATCTTCTGAGTGGTGAATTATGTTTAGACGTGAGCTAAAAATGACTCACATATTTTGAAGATCTAGAACATCGGCAAGAGCAAGTACGTAGAAGAGTGGTCGATGCATCAATATCACATCTTCCTGCCTTTGATATTTATCTCTTTCATTTAATTTAAGATTAAACAACATCTCGATTTGTGGGTGTCGTTTTTTGTGCATGGGCCATGCCAATCTTCTTAATTTTTTAAAAGGCAAGAAAGAATTCCTTGAGTTGGATATAATACTATTTTTTCATTAAAAGGCCTTCTCTGTTAGTTAGAGATAGTCTTATCTTTCAGTTTTAGTTAGAGAAATAGGTTTTATTGTCTCTAGTTTTCACTTGCTTAGAGTTCCCTATTTATAAATAGGACCCTAGTGCATTTTGGTTGAGAGACTATAATAATATCCTATTAATTGATTGGATATGAAAATTCTTCTCTTTATCCTCTTCTTCCTGCTCCCTTCTCCTATCGACCCCCTCTCCTTCCTCTCTCTCTCTCCCTTGCTCTCACTCTCATTTTTGCCTTTTCTCATATCTTCCCTTATTTTCGCTGTCTTATTTGGTGCTACATAAGAAATTACAAGAAAAAGACGAGAAAACCAGATAAGAAGTAGTCAAAAGAAGAAGCAAAGGTAGCTCACTATGACTATGCACAAGCAACAAGCAAATAGGTCGTAACTTAGACCACATGCAAGGAGGGTAACTCAGGAGTAAACTGAAATTCTACATTTACCCAAATGAGATTGAACAAAGAAATTCATACCTGAGAGTAGACAAAATCCACTGTACTTCGCAATTGTGTAACCTGCCAAATTTCTCAGGCTGTGAATTAATAATCAGAAGCAACCCAGAGGAGGAAAAAAGGAAGAAGCAAGTAAAGTTACAAAATTCCTTTAAAACTTTTTCATTGTTCTAACAGAACACAGAAGAGCATGAAAGTTTAAAGCGTTCAGAAGCAGCAACGAACCACACCCGGGAAGAAAAATATCAGACCTACTCAACTTTGATTTGTAGAATCCACCGTTACAAGTTTCTAAGAGAAGGAGAATATACAAACGTCACTGAATAGTATGCCATCCTAGATAACAAAGAGTTGCAATACACCAAGGACATATGATTTTATATTTGTATCTTCTTCCACCTCCACCTGTAAAGGTGGCCGAGTTGGTTGAGCAGGAAATCTCCCAAATGAGGGGTCTTAGGTTTGAAACCCTTGCATGCTTTCTTGGTTGAGCGTGTGGTACGGGGTTTTCCTAGTGCGGTTTATCTCCCTTGTGAGGTTTGCGGGCTATTACAGTGGAGTGAGGTTTACCCCGTGTGCACCCAAAAAATAGCAGTTGCGGGATCCCTTGTCATAAAAAATATCCATATATTTTTCCACCTTTGGTCCCTCCCCCCTCCCTTTATAGGATGCCTTCCGTCAATACATGCAAATACCAAAGCCCTCCACTCCAATCTATCTTCCTTATCTCCCATACTCCTTTGCATGAACTCCACTTCTCATTCCCAATACAAAACGGCTCTTTTGAAACTAATTTCTGAGATATTGCTACATGTTTCTTGTGAGTTGTGACAAACTCGAATATATTACCCAATCTATCGTAGAATCGCTAACACCCAAGGATATGCATACTTCAGCGTCTCCACACTAAGCTATCCAACCAAAAACGTAGATGGTTGTCGCTCCCAACAGTTTCACATTAAGGGTCATTGTCCTGACAATGAAATTTATAAAATCATCTTTTCCCTTCATAATCTCCTTTGTTCTAATGACCAAAAGATAACAAAGGTTATATCATTCCATTGCTGGGAGACGAACTTTCCACAAACTTATCAATAAAAAGAGAACTCATAAGGTCATCTTCATCTTCCACTACCTGACAATTTGTATATGGCAACAACAACTTTTCCCGATAATCTTTCTATGTAAAAAAGACATTTCTCCATTAGTGCCATATTAAATCATTTCGATCTCTTCATCACTAATCCTCCAATCCTCCCCCTAACCATAGAGAGATATTTTCTTCTCCACCAAAAGAATCTCATTCCCCATCCTTCTTTTATAATTGAGAAACCTCCAAAGGTCACTAGCGCACGGTTAGAAACTCAGTAAATAATGGGCCTGCACCTTTACCCGTCTCTACTTAAGGAAACAAGCAATTTTTTTTTCCAATGCAGTACGGGGTTTCAATAAAAACATTAACAAATGACGGTCATCCTCAAAGTTACAACATATTAACCTGTAAGCAAATTAGCATCATTGTGTTTTCAAATATAATTAACTCATATGGCAGAATAACTACTACTTATGGCAATTAATCCGGGCAAATTTTATTCACAACTGAGCATAGAAAAAATTAGAAACCTAAATTACCCCAAGTTTCTTTCTTTCCCAGTTTGATCAAGCATACACTTTGGTTTCTTCACAACCCATTTTCCCTAAATGCCCAATTACCACATCATATCTGATACTGCAACATATTACAGATTATAGATTTCAAAATTACTCAATAAAGCTTCGAACTTTACAGAAACCACTGAATTGCACACCCAAATTCAAACAAAAGAAAAAAGTATAGAAACCAAAAAAGCATGAGATGGGGTAAGAACCTACCGCAAAAGTTGTGGCAGTAGCTCCGATTAATGCAAAAACAAAAATACCCCAAAGTTTCATCTCATCTTTTTCTTGATAAGGTTTTCCCCTATTGTCTTCATCGCCTTCTTCGTTACCCATAATTGATTAGCTTAGAAAAAATTCACCGCAGAATTGTAATCACTGTAATACACTTGAAAAAGAGCCGATGAAACATGCTATGCTGTGTGCTTAATAGAATCCAGAATCTATTGATGTTCCTTCTTCTTCTCTACGCCGACTTTAGATGAAATTGTACTTTGTATTTTGTGATTTTGTCTATTTTCTTCTTCCTTTTTTCAACTTCGCCTTTTTGTTTCTCTGTGGTTTTAATTGGTTGTGATAATTCCCAGTGACCCGCTAGCGCTCGTCGGACCTTTTCGGGTCAACTGTTTTATGTAAAACTAGCAAATTTTGACTTTTATTTTGTTACCCAAGCAGTTTAAAAAAACAAGAGATAATTTAACTTTTGTGTTTATTTTATTCTTGCTATTAAATATTATTTATTATCTACTAACATATTTCTCAAAACATTAAATTTAATAAAGTCAAATGATAATATAGTAGTAATATTACCCATATTATTTATTATTTTTTAAGTGATGTGTCAAGTCAATAGTAAATAACTATTATTGAACAAGAAAATATTCGGTATAATCTACACAATGGAGTCAAGAGGTAAAAGTATACCCAATTTTTATCATGTTATTTTCAATAGACCCTTGATAATAATACCGCAAATAATTACATAAAATAATAAATAATAAGAGAAATCAAAAAACAAATAGCTACAAAAATAGTCCCACGACTAATAGTTGATATACTATCGAATTTAGTTTATTACCATATTTAGAGTTGCTTTCCACGCCAAAATAATATATTTTACGTAGTTCTCCATTCTTAATCAGAGGTCTCAAGTTTGAATCCTCCTAAATACAGAGTCTTTGTTGGGGAACGCTTTATCTTTAACGTAGAACTTTCCGATACAAATTTAAATTTAATCAGATTTTAATGTAGATATCAAAAATCGAATAAGAATTAATAGATACTAAAAATAATGTTATCTATTCGTCATTTGAAGTTTTTCTTCTTTTGTTTTAGTTTAAAGAGAAACACACTCATATTTAAGTCACAAATTCAGTGTAAAAAAAATCATTTTAAAAATTAAAATGCAATTATTTAATCCAAAATGGATAATTTTCTCGAAATGAAATGTGATTTTAATGAGAATCGGAGCTCCGAAGTGTGAGCAGAACCATTGAATAGCAACCGTTCCAATCCCCACGCGCCAATTTCAAGCTTCTCCGTATACGCGCCATACTTTCCAAATCTGCAAATCTCCAGCAAACACTTTCACCTCTTTCTCCAAACAATTTTCAATTTTTTTTTGTATTCATCAAATACATATCCATTGTGTACCGGAATTACCAAACCTTTGTAAATTACGGATCTTTAACGTTGTTCACTACTGATTCAGGTACAGATGATGTTTTGCCATTGCCTATTTATTTGAAACAAAGACCTCAAAGCTTCCCTTTCCCCCCCTTGTATCAAAGTTGGTACAATGTTGCTTTCTTGCTCTTTATGTTTGCTAATTATAGTAAAGAATTGATTTTCTTGTCTCTCCTATTAGTTTCCATTCATGGGTGTGGTTAACAAATACTATAGTGTTAAATGCTTCAGTACAATCCTTTGTGTTTTTCCTCATATCAAAATGGGTTTAAAGGTTGTTTTCTTGCTCCCTAATTATAGTTAAAGATTGAATTTTTGGTCTCTTTCTTGACACCCTTTTAGTTTCTATTCATGGGTGTGGTTAACAAATACTATATGATTAAATGCTTCACCACAATCCTTTGTGTTTTTTAGTTTCCTCATATCAAAGTGGGTTTAAATGTTGTTTTCTTGCTCTTTTTGCTCCATAATTATAGTTAAAGATTGATTTTTTTGTCCCTTTCTGGACACCCTTTTAGTTTCCATTCATGGGTGTGGTAAACAAATACTATAATCACAATCCTTTGTGTTTTTCCTCATATCAAAATGGGTTTAAATGTTGTTTTCTTGCTCTTTTTGCTCCCTAATTGTAGTGAAAGATTGAATTTATTGGCTCTTTCTGGACACCCTTTTAGTTTCCATTCATGGGTGTGGTTAACAAATACTATAACCAGAATCCTTTGTGTTTTTCCTCATATCAAAATGGGTTTAAATGTAGTTTTCTTGCTCTTTTTACTCCCTAATTGTAGTGAAAGATTAAATTTTTTGGCTCTTTCTGGACACCCTTTTAGTTTCTGTTCATGGGGTGTGGTTAACAAATATCCTTACATGCTTCACAACAATCCTTTCTGTTTTCCTCATGTCAATATGGGTGCTTTTTTCACTTTTTGTTGGCTTATTATAGACTTATAGTGATGAAAATGTGTTGTTCCTTGACACCATTTTAGCTTCTTTTCATGTGTGTGGTTAATAAATCCATAGTTACTAATCATTGTTTTCTTAAAAGACTGGTCTTTTCTTAATATTGTGATAATGCCATATTTGGAAACTTCTGTGAAAAAGTCAAAGCTGCCAGAAATAAGAAATTTGACAGCTTTTGGTATCTAGTTTTGATTTTTGACATTATAATCTCTTGATTGATTTTTTAATAATTAGATTTGTCTTTAATATTACACAGGAAATTAGTTTTTTTTGGTTACAAGAACCTACAATGATGTCAAGGAGGCCTATCAACCCATCTCGACGTGTAGCAGACAATGGAGCTTCTTCGTTAGAAGGCTCAATTCGGTCAAAGACACGGTCTCCCCCATATTTAACAATTGGACTTATTATTGTGGTACTTATTCCCGGATTCTGATGCTAATTGTTATTTAACTGTTATCATTCTGGATGACAGTGGATAAACTTTAGAATATTACTAGCTTCAAGTCATTTAACTGTAATTGTAACTCAATTTTTTCCTTTTGGATATTCCAGGGTGCATTTCTTCTCATAGGGTATTTTTACTGTGACACAGGTTTGTATCTGAATCCTCGGTATTTTGTGAATTATGTTTATCTTCAAAAATATAGCGAGATGCCCCCCAAAAAATGAAGAAAAAAGAAAACAAAATATTTTAGCTGATTGCTCAATGCTGGAGTCTGGAGCTGTCTGGTAGCCTATAAATTCTAGTTTAAATTATATAACAGTTACACTCTTTAGTTGACTTGGAGGACTCCTATAGATTCTTTGTTTAGAGTAAATTGTATATTGAAAAGAATCGATAATACTTGTGCATGAACAGTCTTCCCTTCTTGAGAAAAGAAGATATCGGCATCCACATATGCACAAGTAAAAGATGTCTCATGTGTATTGTTTTCGACATATTTTTAATTTTTATCTGCAAACAAATAATGGTCTGTCTTCCCTTTAAACATTTTAGCAAAGGAAAAGTGGCCCTACCTCATGTTTTGATGAATGTTTTTCTAAATAAAAATCTCAAATGAATCTCTGCTCTCAGTAATGGTCATGCAGGTGATTTAATTACACGTTGTGTTTCCTTTTCTCAACTTGAACGTTTTGTTCAGCCTAAGTATTGTTCTTTACTTTATACTTTGTGCTTCTGAGTCTTGTTCCTTACTTCAATCTGACACTGATAGAGGGATTATCATCGGTTGTAGGTACTTTTGCCAGTATTAAAGGAGCTATCAGTAGAGTGGAAGGTAATTGCTCATGCATTATTCTAGAGGATTTGAGTTTTGACGTATTTATATATCAAATGCCACATGAATTATGTGATTTAATCAAAGTGATGAGACATTTCTTTTAATTGCTTAGTGCAAATGTTTCTAACTATGAACTCATGATCACCTCATAAATGTATCAAGAACTTCAGTTTGGTCCTTAATGATAACCGCTGTCACTTTTGGGTTCTGCTTGGGGCTTTACTCTAACAATAATTATAATAATCTATTATAAGAAGGCTCGTGTAGTAGGAACCATCTAAAATTACTTAAAACAAATGTCTTTTGGGACATAATAAAACTATCTAACCTATCTCTCTAACATCTTAAGCATTTGGCAAGTTGGTCAACATGATATCTGAGCAGACAAGAGGTCCTGGGTTAAAATCTCGCAGCCATCCATTAAGAAAAAAGTGTGTTTGGTCCATGAAAATAAATGGGGCCAACAAGTGAGGGTGTGTGTTGAGACATAATGAAATCAAGTCACTAAGTCGCTAACAACTTAAGCTTTGAGATGGTCCCACACTTCAGCAATGCCTTTGGAGATGACATGCAACAGAATTCTTGTGTTCCACGAGGAAACCTATGTGCATTGTTATCATGCAGTCAGTCTGTATACCAACTTCAATAAACTAATATCAACCCAGAAACTTCATGTCTTAGATTTCTGTTCTCTTATTGATTTGCTGAATAATTCTTTAGTCTGGTGAGCATCTGGAACATCTGTAAACTTTCCCCCCATACTTTATAAATCATTTACTTATAAAGGCATAGAGGAGGTAACGAGATTAGTAATTTTCATTTGTCACTCTAGGTGGGTGGAGTGACTGTGCATTATACTTATCGAGAATCTTGATATAGTCTATACACAGAGCTACTGACTTCCATTCTTTATATTAGAAGATACCTAAATTCTATTGCTTTTGTTTAATTTGGGTAATACGGTATGTCAGTTTATTTGCCTTGACATTGTTGAAGATAAAGTTACTGTTGTTTTTACATTACAGTTGACTTAGGATCTACCACCTGTTTTACCTCTTCAGGGGATTTTTTATGTACTGTAGAAGTTCAAAAGGCCATTCCTGTTTTGAAGAAAGCATATGGTGATAGCATGCATAAGGTGCTGCATGTTGGTCCTGATACTTGCTCGGTAGTGGCTAAATTGTTAGAAGAGGAAGATACCGAAACTTGGGGTATAGAACCATATGATATAGAGGATGCAGGTCATTTCTGCAAGAAACTCGTGCATAAGGGCATTGTTCGTGTGGCTGACATAAAATTTCCTCTCCCATATCGTGCAAAATCATTCTCTCTTGTGATCATCTCAGATGCATTGGACTACTTGTCTCCAAAGTATCTTAATAGGACTCTTCCCGAACTGGCGAGGGTGTCATCTGATGGACTCGTTATTTTCACAGGTAAGAAGAGTTTGTATTAGTTGTTATGTTTATATGACAGCCAGCCCAAAATGGAAGTTTATTTTGCATTAATTGTACTGTCCGAGCTAAGCTGCTTCCTACCCTTCACTTCCTGTCAATCTGTATTTTGGTGTTTGCCCTTTTGGGTTACACACATATGAGTAGGGCGTGTTTATCTCAATCCAAGA